TAGGTATAGATTGACATAAAAGCATTAAAATAATCATTTCTATATCAGATACCTAATGAATGGGACATTCTATAATTTTGACAGCATGATGTCGTCCCCTTTCTTCCAACAAAAAAGAAATAAAGAGGAGTGAAATTTATTTAACCAAAGAAACAGTCACTTTAATTCTTGTGATGACAAAAAGACCAGTTTGAGCTGAAAGTTGTATAGATGAGTGGCCAGAAGGTGTCCATCTTAAACTGCGTGACTGCATAACAGAACTGACTGTGATGAGGACAGGTCACCACTTTCCATGATGATGTAAATCTTTTCCTACAATTTGTCACATGATAGTCACAGCAAAGTGCTGTTTTAGGGAAGTGTAGTGTGGCTTAAAGGGAGCGAAGACCCAGAAACAGTCAATGTGAGAAAGCCTGTAATGAGCATGATATGGATTTTCAAAATGACACCCATGTGCATACATGCTGAAGCACTCCATAAGACACTGTATTACTGGAATGAGGAAGGGATGCATTGACGCTCAGTTATTTACTCAGGCATGAACCCAGGCCCAAATAAAAAGTAAAATACAATGCATTAGTCATAATTAATATTTAATTTTCATTTGTTTTGTTCATTACACTTACCTCTTAATGCCTTAATCTACAATTAATAAAATTACTGACTCTCATCAATAATTCATTGTATATTCTAACGACTGTTGTTATGCTTAAATAAATGACAGTGCTCTTTTGGGAGTTGTGCCATACTGTACAAATGGGTGTTAGTAATCCAGTAGGAGGTTTCAAACACACTTACACAACTCTCAGTAAACACTGACTTTAAAGTTTTGCATAACATTAAAAGGATGACCCAAACCACGTTCTATGGAGACAATTTGGTCAGATTTTGTACTGTGGAGGAAACAGTTGAGTCCCTACCAGGAATTGTAGATCATGAACTGGGAGCACATTGATGCCACCATGTGGTTTATTTGAAGGGTTTTTTAAAACCAGTACAGTATATCTTTTTCCCTACTTTACCCTAATATCCTAATGTTTAGCTGTATCAGTTAAATTTCCTATAGAGGCACATATAAGTGTTATTGTTGATAATCATTACAACCCTGCTGCCTTCTCAGTTTCCTGAGCAGATTTAGTTGTAATTGCTGCCAGGCGGTTTGAGAGAACATGAATGGCTTTGGCTCTGAGCTGTTGTCATGGAGTTGATTTATTTACTGTACATCAGCCTGCTGGATTAAAGCAGAGCAGCACAGTTTGGCTTTCATTCGATTGTCAGTGTTAGCATCCAAAGGATATGTTGTATGGTAACAAACAATGATGACAACACATAGCATTTTATTTTACTTTATACGTTTCTAGTTTGGGATTTTACAATTAAAAAGTAGTTTTATTCAATCAACTGATTTAAAATAATCAAAATTAGAACATATTCTATGCTACACACAAATAGAGAAAATGTAAAAAAAAAATGTTTTGCTTCACATCTTCATAATGATGATCTTAGCAAATATTATTTATACTAAAGTTAAAATATATTCATCTTAATAATTAATATAGTGTTTATGTTTTGTTTTTGGACAGCTGTGCTTTTGAGAAGCATCTGGTCTTGCATTATAATGAAACCCACATGACATTTAAAATTTCTAAATTGACAGTGCTGTCCAAAACAAAATAAAATATAGACCACTGGAAACAAAACAACAACAAAAAATTAAAATAAAATAAAAACTTGAAAATTTTATTTTTTATTAACAGATTATGCCACATTAAACTGCAAAAGTAAGATTTTTTTTATATGAAATAATATTATTGACTGTTCAAGGCTGTCTACTTGGGCCTTGGCACAAAAACATTTATTTATTTTATAAAATCAGGGAGAGTTCTGTGTTGCAATAACAGTGGTACTGGACATCCATCCATCTATTTTCTTTTACCCGCTTCTTCCTTTTTGGGTCACGGGGGCCACTGGTACTCATATCCAGCCATCACTGTGTGAGAGGTGGGGTACACCCTGGACAGGTTGCAAGTCCATCACAGGGCTACTGGACATACAGCTTAATGCAAATAATGGGACCATTCCAACATGTTTTATTTATGTTTGTAGTGCTGATCAGCTTTGACATAATTGTGTCATGTTTAGGCAATAGCTATTTTATGTTTTACATTTTCACAGCCTTTATATTCATACTATAAGTTTAACCATATTTTTCCACATTATTGTTATTATTATTATTATTATTATTATTATTATTATTATTATTAGTAGTAGTAGTAGTAGTAGTAGTAGTAGTAGTAGTAGCAATAGTAGTAATTTATCAATTTATCAGTTGTGGTTCATCGAATTAAAAGGCGTACTTCTCTTTCGGAACAGTAGGTGGCAGTATGAGCAACAAACGACAACAGACCGGGCGTAGAAGAAGAATCTCACACGTGTTTCCAACATGTCCGCGTAGTGTGTTTTGTTCATTGCGAAAACAGTTTAATTCCGTTTCTTTTTATTAATTTACGCAGCGAAGTTATCAACCCCTCAGTGTTAAGGAGAACAAAGTGACAGGATGGCTCAGAGGAAGAAGAAATTTAAGAAGAAGAGACACGCTAACAGGGACCCGCTGTCGGACTCTGACACCGGAGACTTCGAGCTAGCAGCGGAAATTAAGGATGATGAGTCTGTAAGTAACTAAAGTGTTATTTACGAAACTTGTTTTCCTACGGGTATATATACAAGATAATCAGACATTCAACTACAAGTAACAGCATAATTCACCTAATTATTGAATCATAAAGGAGTTCAGCAGCTGTCGTAAGTGCGTCAAGGGGTATAGCTCAGTGGTAGAGCATTTGACTGCAGATCAAGAGGTCTCCGGTTCAAATCCGGATGCCCCCTGAGAGCTATTTTGTAATTCATTCATAATAACAGTTAAATAATAAATACCATGGTGTTGATATATCTTAACCTTAAAGAGCCTCTTAATAAAACAGTATGACACACCACGAGTTTTATTTGGCTTACATTTTGTTAAATATTGTTTCTGCTAATTTCAAGTTGTAACTGTTAAATATAAACATTAATATACAGCAGGTATTTATATATATATATATATATATATATATATATATATATAAACTGTTCTAATATATAAAACCTTTATCCATGAATGGCTGACTCATGAATGAGTGAAGATTTCCACATTTACAGTTGTGATTAAAAAGCACGTTTTAATGTTTTGCTGTTGTCTCCCACAGCCGTGGAAGAAGCTGTCACGGTTTCCTGCAGCATCGGACTGCCTGTCAGACGTGGAGCCTGACACCAGGCAGATGGTCAGAGCTCAAAACAAGAAGAAAAAGAAGTCTGGAGGATTTCAATCGATGGGTGAGTAAAAAGAAGAGAACTAGTTTGTCTCCCGTTGACCTCCAGGGAACACAGTTTTACTTCCTTGTGTCTGATTTCAGGTCTTAGCTACCCTGTTTTTAAGGGTGTCATGAAGAAGGGCTACAAAGTCCCCACGCCTATTCAAAGAAAGGTACGTCAGGGATTCTTTCAGATTGTGTTCTTCATTAATATTAACACACTTGTTTGATGCTGAGTTCTTATCTTCACCATCTCAGACTGTTCCTGTGATCCTGGATGGAAAAGATGTTGTAGCCATGGCTCGCACAGGCAGCGGTAAGACCGCTGCTTTCCTCGTGCCCATGTTTGAGAAACTGAAAGCCCCTCAAGCCCAGACAGGAGCCAGAGCCCTCATCCTGACCCCCACCAGAGAGTTGGCCCTACAGACCATGAAGTTCACAAAGGAGGTATGTCTGCAGTATGTTTTGTATTAAATCTATTTTTAAATGATACAATGGTTAAAAAATGTTTCTATTTGTTTGGGTGTTTTAGTTGGGAAAATACACAGGCCTGAAGACTGCTTTGATTCTTGGTGGAGACAGGTGTGCAGCTCATTTGTAATATTCTGTTTCCTATTGCTTTCTGTCTGTGCATAACCTGTAAATGTCTGATTTTTATTTTTTTATAGAATGGAAGATCAGTTTGCTGCTCTTCATGAAAACCCTGACATGTGAGTGTTTTTGTTTCAAAAATTACTTCATAAAGTGCTTTTTAAAAAAAAAAATCCTGTTCTCTGCCCTTTTCAGAATTATTGGCACCCCGGGTCGTCTCATGCACGTCATCAAGGACATGAATCTGAAGCTGCACAGCGTAGAATATGTGGTGTTTGATGAGGCCGACAGGTGAGGAATTGGATTGGTCTCGTTCTTTTGTGGCTGTTGCAAGAAATGAAGTTTTTGGAGCAGTTTTGATAAGTGTCATGCAGACGTTTGATTTCTAATATTAGTCAGAGCTCATTTAATTTTACAGTTTTGGGATCAGGCTTCGGTGTAGGCTCAATATGAGGGACACAAAAATTTAGAACTGGACACACTTTCATGCTGAAACTTAAATGGACATTTCAGCGTGTGCGATTGTGTGTGTTCCTCCTTTCAGGTTGTTTGAAATGGGTTTTGCCGAGCAGCTTCAGGAAATCATCCAGAGACTTCCAGACACCAGACAGACTCTGCTCTTCTCTGCTACTCTTCCCAAACTGTTGGTGGATTTCGCCAGAGCTGGTAAGATCGGCCTCGTAAACCCTTCAGTATCATGAAATGGCAGCTGTGGTTTGCATGTGCAGCTATTACATTGTGAGGAACTTTTAAGTAAATCCGAAGCATTCAAAATGACGTTTGTCTTTATTTGCTGAATTATGTTGATGCTGGTGCTTGAGGTCCAGTCTAATGAAATAAACTTTTATTTCCAGGGCTGACTGAACCTGTGCTGATTCGCTTGGACGTTGATTCAAAACTCAGTGACCAGATTAAGGTAAAGAAAGCAAATGATTATTAATTAGATTGATTTTGATTATTTTTCCCACAGACACTTATCAAAATAACAACAGGATCATATACATGTTTATATCATTGAAAGTTACTTTGTTAAAATGTAAAAGTATTGCAACAAGTTTGGGGTCCAGGTTGTACAGTGTATGTCAGAGATGTACACACTTCATGGACATTTCATGGCTTTTTAAGATTTATGGCCATTTTAATAAGCTGTTCTCTTTGGGATTCGAGTAATTTCACTGTGTACTGTACATTTTTAAAATAAATATTTTTGAAGGAGTGCGTTGAGAGTAGAATCAACCAACGCAGCTCAAGTTGCACATACAAATAAAATATGAATATGGATCACTTTTATTTGGTTACGTTTCATTCACTTTTCTCTCTGATTTGTATATTTGACCACTTTCGATCACAGAATTGGTCAAGTTTAATGGAATCAGCCTGTTTCTTGAATATTTATGACACTTTAAAGCAAAGTTCACATAGGTTAAAAAGAAAGTAAGGTTTTAACATTGGGAACATTATTCCTAAGATTTATGTTTTATTAGTAAGTTTTGACATAAGTTTACCATCATAGTTTTTTCTTAATATCAAATAATGTCCAAGTTTCATCTTTTTTTTCCTCCTTTCTTCATTATTCCATCCCAAATTATGTTTTACCTTTGTGTAACCACCATCAAGGTGTCGTCATGCTACTCGACCTGTGCCTTTAGTTCAGCTCAGTCTTTCTCATTTCAAAGATTCTCGTGAATCTTTCTTCCAAAACGATGTTTGTTCCTGTGGTTTGTTGCAAACTTTAGTTATTTAAAGCCGTTCATTTAGAAGAACCTGTCCAGTTCATACCATATGGGATATGATCTCGTGCATGTTATTTAGACAAATTCCGAAGCTTACGCAGTTCTCTGCACACCTGCATCCCCTACGTATTATTTTGTCTTCTCTTCCGTCAGCTCTCGTTCTTTCACCTTCGTGTGGACGATAAACCGGCGCTGCTGCTTCACCTGCTGAGGAACGTGGTGAAGCCTCAGGAGCAGACGGTGGTCTTTGCTGCCACTAAACACCACGTAGAGTACCTTAAGGAGGTGAGAGAACGCCAGGATCACTGAATGACCAGTGTTCCCTCATGCATGAAACAAACGTCTGCTCTTTCCAGCTGCTGTCTTCAGAAAACATAGAGTGCGCCTACATCTACAGCGCCCTCGATCACACCGCCAGAAAGATCAACATTGGGAAATTTGTGCACCGGAAAGCCATGGTGCTTCTCGTGACTGACGTCGCCGCTCGTGGTATCGACATCCCCCTGCTGGACAATGTTATTAACTACAACTTTCCCTCCAAGGCAAAACTCTTTTTACACAGAGTTGGTTAGTACTTTAAACACTCGTTTAGTTCTTCTTCTTTCTTTTTTCTTCTTTAATTTAAAAATGATGTCGATGCTCACATGTTTTTCCCATCAGGCCGTGTGGGGCGAGCGGGTCGCAGCGGTACGGCGTACAGTATGATTTGTTCTGATGAGATGCCTTATGTTTATGATCTCCACCTCTTCCTTGGAAGGCCCGTTCAGTTTGCCACAGCTAACACACAAGGTAGATATTGTAGAAATTCTCCCAGGGAGTTAATGTTAACTTATGTAATATTTTTATTATATATCGTCTTTGTATATAATATAAAACATCCATTTTCCTCCAGATTCAGACGGTGTGTTTGGTAGAGTTCCTCAAAGCATCTTGGATGATGAAGGTTCTCATCTGATTGTGTCTCACGAAAACTCCCTGGACCTGCAGAATCTGCATCGGGTCTCAGAAAACGCTTACAAACAGTTCCTCAAGTCCAGACCGAATCCCTCCGCAGAGTCCATCAGACGGGTGAAAAACACAGATATGTCCAGCATGGCGGTCCATCCGTTACTCGGTCAGTCTGAGGGAAATGATTATGGACGAACGAATACAATATTTAAATATGACGTTTGGTCTGATTTGGTTTCAGGTTCCGGTTTGGAGAAAATGGAACTGGACCGCCTTGAAATGGTTGACGCTATAAAGGGCTACAAGTCCAAATCAGTAAGTTCACAACACATGTCCTATAAAACTTGTTTTCTGTTAATTCGTAATATATATATATTTTTTTCTTTGATGTAGACTATTTTTGAAATCAACTCTAGCAGCAAAACACCTGCAAGTGAGGTGATGCGGACCAAACGCTCAAAGGACATGCTGTTGGTGGACAAGTTCAGCAAGAGAAGAGAGGAGCTGTCTGCAGAGAGCAGGCTGCAGCGCTCCGCCGGCTCCACCGTCGCTGCTGACCATGAGATGACGGGCGAGGAGGACGTGGATCTGAAGGTCTGCCTCAAACAAGATCAGTACCAATGCTCCGGTGGCTAATTTAATTATATTACGCAGCCACATCCTTAAAGTGTTCATGTGTCTGTCTGTTAGCAACATATCTCAAGAACCAGTGGGTGGATTTTAACGAGATTCTCAGAACATAATCCCTGGATGAACATGTATAACTGATTGACTTTTATAGTCAGCCTGATTCAAGATGGCTGCCACAGTTCATTGGACTTATCAAAGACAGGCAGCGCTGTATCCTAGTCAGTTTTGCAGATATTGAGCTGTAGCTTGGTGCGGTTGTAGCCTTCTCTAACGCATACTTCAAAAGCTAAAATTGCACAAAATATTTTGTTTATAACATTTCCCTGCATAACTTGTTTAATCCCACTGTCAAATGCAAATGTGATTTTTTTTGTGTGTGGAAAATGTCTTCAGATCTGCTTTAAACTTCAATAAGGACATTCTTCACTTTAAAATGTTTTCCGCTATTTTCATCTTTATTTCCACACGTGTCGTAAAATATTATTAATTTATCTTTGAGTATTGTCTGCACGTGATGTCCTGTGGACGTTTTAAAAGAAAGAACGTGACTTTTTATGTGTCAGTAGGTGCAAATATTTATTTTTAATTCATGTACTAGGGATTTTAAATGTAGTTCTCATTGTTCCCACCAGGGGGTGTTCTCACATGTAGTAGGTGTTAAGAGAAGAAACCCAACAGAAGATGGAGAGGAACATTCAAAGAACAAGAAAAGCAGACAAACGGGCAAAGATCAAGAGTATTTTATCCCGTACAGACCGAAGGACTTTGACTCGGAGAGAGGGTGAGACATGAACATTTAGAAATCTAAACACAAAGCAGAAGATGGCGTGTTCTTTTATTTTTCAACTTGTGAGGTCATGTTCTGTCGTCAGCTTGGGTCTTGGTAGAGACGGCGGTACGTTTGAACAGCAGGCTTCCTCAGCCGTCCTCGACCTGATGGGAGACGAGAGCAACCAGTTAAACCAGCACAAAGCACTAATGAAATGGTGACTATTTAAGTTCTCTCACGCTCACAACCTGCGGTTTTTAACTTTTCACTATAATTTACGGCCTTTCTGCCGTAGGGACCGCAAGAGGAAGCGTTTTGTAAGAGAATCAGGAAAGGAGGACAAGAAAAGGATGAAAACTGAGAGCGGGCAGATCGTTAGTAACAAGAACAAGAAGAACTTGTATCCTTCTGGCAAAATGTCTATAAACCTGATTATTTTGAGACTCCTCTTAGACTCTTGTTGGTCCGTCATAATGAGCTGTTGTTTCACTTAACAAGCTGTCAGTTATGAGGAGTGGAAGAAGAAATACAAAGTTGATGATGATGGATCTGGATCAGATGGAGAAACAGGAGGAGGAAGGAGGAAGTCAACGCGAGGTACGACAACACAGTTCAGAACATCAGAGAATCTCACAAAATACACAATCTTTTGTTCAGTTTTTAAGAATTGTTTAGAAATCAAACATTTCCAAAGGAATTTTCACATTTTAACTCTGCTATAAACCTGTATTTACTGTACTTTCTGCTGTACATGTCACACCGCCATAGAAGTTGCATCAGTCCAAATACGTATGTCTAATAAAGTGGGAAAAAACATAAATAAGTCGCATCTATTATGCGTCACTGCTGACCACCCGGCATCGTGGGCCGGTGTTGTGCCAAAAATCGATTGGCTGCGAAATGGTGGCCGCGGGAGCGTGCACAGTAGGGGTTAAACTACTACATGTTTCTTAAAGTCGACTTTAATATGATAAAAGTCGAGTCGGCATCAACTAATCGATGACGTCATAGGAACTCAAGACACTATATCATATTTGCAAAAAAATATATATTAGCAAAAAAACATCATTTATTTTTTACCAAAAAAAAAAAGAACAACAAAACATCGGGCGTATATTTATGCTCCTACCATTTATCATATACTGCAAATAAGTCAAAGGAAAAGCAAAACTATTATCAAGCTGCAAAGAAACGTGCGACACGTAAAAGATGAGGCTAAGAACAGCGGCTGGAAAGCTTCAGGTGTGTCTGGCAGTGATCCATCTAGACTTTTTTTGTACATCTTTTAACCGACTGGTGATGATCCACATTGGATCGTCAGTCGCGTGCGTCTCCTGACGCAATCAAAAGCCTGACACCAAGCCACCCCCACATCCAGCACATTATTTTGGCTCAAGCTGGGCCATGTTGGAAATGACAGCTCTACCGCCCCGCTGTTTTTAGTTTTATTTTATTTAATCCACCATGTGGATTGGGTGGAATAGGGTTGGGAACAGCGCAGTGTGTGTGTGGGGGTATGCGACTAGTCGACGGGTAATGTAAAAACTCGCAAGATAATCCAGGATCGACTAGTCGAGTAATCAATTAGCCTATTCAACCCCTAGTGCATGGGAGGACTTTAACAAGAATTTAACCAGATTAACACTTAAAAACAATTATTTGTTTGCTCAAAGTTATAGCAAAGGTTTGTCTCAGTTTAACTTTTCCTTAATAAGTGCACAATATTGGTTAAATCAGCTGCATTTCAAAAATCAATTTGCGGAGGCGCACAGAGGGAGGACTCGCTGTGCATTTCATCGAAATTTAACAAGGTTAACGCCTAAAAACAATTGTTTTTTTGCTTGACATTACAGTAGTCCCTCGTTAATCGCGGGGCTTCGTACTCTGAAGCCTTGCTGTAAGCGAAAAAACGCAAAGTAGAAATAGTAGTACAAGTAGTAAGTAGTAGTTTATTTTATTATTTAAATAGCTATATATGAAGGCATTTTAAACCCTTCCCACACTCTTGCAATATTCTAAACAATGTTTCTAAACTCTAAAGCTCTAAAAGAGCACAGAATGTCATGATTTCTGCCTCCTCTGCTCTTGGCCACGCCCACTTCTCCGCTCTGCATGAAAAATATCTGATCAGCTGCTCAACTGCAGCAGGAAGTTTATTTTTGGTTGATGGCCCTCTAGCGGCTGAAAATGGTAGTGTTTAATATTTTCCATGTCAGAATGAATGAATCGTCAGATCTCAGCCAAAAATTGGTTATAAATATGGGAAAAAAACGTATATTAGTCGTTTTGGTTTTTAAGTCGCAGGACTTGCAAATTTATGCAACAAGGTGTGACTTATATGACGAAAAATACGGTATAGTGATGCAGTTATTTTTATTTTGACATTCATTTATCTTATTATCTCGTGTCGTTTTTTTTTTTCCTGTCATAATTCCCCCAGGTCGTGGTCGCCGAGCCCCAAACCCTCACAGTCCTGCAGGACCACAGGTGACACCCGGCGGCCGCAGAGTACAGTCTGAGCTTAAATCGAAGGCGCAGATCTTGAAGCAGCGCAAACTGAAGCAAAAGCAACAATTCAAGCAGAAAGGAGGGATGAAGAAAATCCGCTCGAAGAACAAACAGTGGGTCGGAGAGGTGAAGAGGTCGGGCTTCGGACGCGGCGGCCAAAAGAAGGGGAAGATGAGGAAGAAGCTGTGAGGTCGCAGAAGAAAGACTTGCAGACGGTTGATGATGTGCAGTGAAGCATGGAGTTTCTTGAAGGAGACATCATTTCTTGCTTCTGAACTTTATTTAAACTGCGTTCTTTAAATCTGCTGAAAGTCAAAACTGAGCTTTTGTGTCCTGAACCGATAATTGAATACAGATCTAAAGGAATATCTGGTCCCGTTTTCATTGGAAACAACCAACTAAGTTTTGTTAAAATTTATATTTATCAGAAAATAAAATTAATTTTACCCCATCCAGGAACAGCCAATATTCTTTGGACCTTCTTTGAAGGCTCATTTGCAGCTCAGTCGATTGAATGAGTTATTTTACTGAATTCAAAGTTATTTTTAAGTTTAAATACGCGTCAGTGCCACAGAGTGAAGCCTCCACTGAGCAACTTTAAAGAAGTGGGAAATGATTTTAATTGTCAGTTTTTATCCTGGATGATTTTATACTTTGGTCCACATTTTTTCCTCGAATATAAATTAACCTTTGAGAAATAAAAACACCAATGAGACTATTATTAGATATCTTTACTTAAAGATGCTTGAGTGGCTCAAACTTACAAAATGCTTTAATTATAATAATCTAACCAAGTTTAACAACATCTCAATGTTAGTTTTATTAATTCTTTGAAATGAAGGGATTTTATTAATTAATAGAACACAAACTAATCTCATACCCAAATCACTTTGAGGTGACGTTATGCTGATTTTTTTCCAGGATTTGACAAGTGTTTAATGGGATCTGCTCAGAAAGCTGTGCAGCAGCAGAATACCAGTACAATATTTGAATATTTGTTTCCCTTCATATAGCCCTATTGATTTGAACTGTTTTATTTATTTCCATTTTAAGCTGTTTCTTTAACTGGTTTTCTGTAAAGACCATTAGGTAGACCAAATATTTAAGGGAGGGCTGTTAAGTGATTTGAATGCTGCAATACAGTACAATCTTTTTTTCTTAGCATCTACAGGTGCATCTCAAAAAATTAGAAAATCACGTTCATCATAAAAAGTTCAACTTTTTTAAATCATTTCAGAAAGTGAAACTCGTATAGATTCCTTATACAGAAGTAGACATATTTCAAACCTTTATTTCTTGTAATTTTGATGATTATGGCTTACAAATCATTCATCCATTATACCCGCTTCTTTTCATGTTGTGGGGGTCACTGGTGCTCATCTCCAGCAGTCACTATGCGAGAGGCAGAGTGCTTACGAATAATGAAATAACAAAAAATATTGTCTCAGAAAATTAGAATATTGTGAAAATGTTCAATATTGTAAACTGGTGTTTCACCCTGATCAGCTGATTTAACTGCTAGACATGAGCTACAGATGTCTCATGCTTCAAGTCAAACCACTCCTGAACCAAGACATCAGAAGCGTCCTAGCTGCAGAGGAGACAACTGGACTGTGTCTCAGTGGTCCAATGTTCTCTTTTCAAATGAAAGTAAATTTCATGTTATTTGGAAATAAAGGGGGCAGCACGGTGGCGCAACTGGTAGAGCTGCTGCCTCTCAGCGAGCAGGTCCTTGGTTCAAACCCCGGTCCAGGGGCCCTTCTGGGTGGAGTTTGCGTGTTCTCTCCGTGCACGCGTGGGTTTTCTCCGGGTACTCCGGTTTCCTCCCACAGTCCAAAAACATGCATGTTAGGCTGATTGGTAACTCTAAATTGTCCCTAGGTGTGAGTGAGAGAGTGAATGGTTGTTTGTTTCGTTTGTCTCTATGTGTCCCTGTGATGGACTTGCCCGTCCAGGGTGTACCCCGCCCCTCGCACAGTGATTGCTGGACATGGGCACCAGCGACCCCCGTGACCCAAAATGGAATAAGCGGGTAAAAGATAATGGATGGATGGATTTGGAAATAAAGGTCCCAGAGTCTGAAGGAAGAGTGGAGGTTCAGAATCCACGTTGCTTGATGTCCAGAGTGAAGTTTCCACAGTCAGTGATGGTTTGGGTCCATGTCCTCTGGTTTGGGTCCACTGGGTTTCTGAAGTCCAGTCAACGCAGCATCTACCAGGACATTAGAGACTTCATGCTTCCTTCTGCTGATGAGCTTTATGGAGATGCTGAGTTCATTTTCCAGCTGGACTCGGCTCTTGCTCACACTGCCAAAGGTACCAAAAGCTGGCAAATTAATGTTCTAATTTTCTGAGACACAACGTTTTGATTTTATTCATAATAATAAATTTTTGGTTGCATGTGAAGATTGGATTCTTTACTTGCATAGAAATGGTTACAGCTGCATTAGAGTATATAATAATGCAATTGCTAATAAAACATGCAAGAGTTTGTCAATCGTCTCTTACAAAGGCTAACATCTATTTTGTTCGCTAAATAAGTTGAAATGCTTTCCATTTCCTCCTGAGGTAAAATATAATTTACGTGTTACATTTTCTGTCAGCAAAAGTTAAGCAAATCTGTGTTTTGTAAAAGCCTGGAATTCTTTAGTGTGTAAAATATAGATCAACAACTTAATATTTACTGTCTTCCATGAACTTTATGAATCAATTTATTTTGAGCACCACTACTCACTGATATACCGACTTTTAAATTTAGAAAATGGCTTAGATTATTTTTGCTACATGTGTGTCATGACAATGATTTGATTAAAACAGGTATCTAGCATGTTTTATTTAAATATAAACTGGAACTATTTTTTGTCAGGTACATTCATTTACCAGCAGTATGTTCCAATCTGGAATATGTTTATTGCAGCTGTCTGTAATCCCACATCTGAGCCATTGCTTGTTTCTGCTTCAGTCACATTTTTGTTTTTCTCCTCAGAGGATTCAGCTGGTGGTCATCAGGCTATGGAGAGCTGTCAGTTCCTCAGCTGCGTTTAAAGGTGCCAAACAGCACCACATGTCCAGCACAGGAACGAGCTGCACAACACAATAAAAAACAGGCGTTTCATGTGGATGCTTGCAGTGCTGTTCCCATCCAAGCTGGCTCCCCTCAGGGATGTGTGCTGAGCCCCCTCCTGTTCCCTCTGCTCACGTATGATTGTGCAGCTACCCATCCAGGCTGTCACAATGTAAAGTTTGCAGATGATACAGCGGTGGTGGGATGCATCACAAACAATGATGAGTCCAGCCACAGGCAGGAGGTGGAACACCTGCAGAGCTGGTGCAGGAAGAACAACCTCCACATTAATGTGAAAAGACGAAGGAGATGGTCATGGACTTCAGAAGGAACAAACACACCTAACGCCCCTGAACATAAGAGGATCTGCAGTGGAAGTGGTCTCCAGCTACAAGTACTTGGGTGTGCACCTGAAAGTTTGACTTATGTGAGTGTTTTGTTTTGCTTAATGTGCCTTATAATCCGGTGCTCCTTATAGTCCGAAATATACCGGAAGTTTATTTAAATTATGCCATTGGGTTATTATATAGTGCGTACTGGCATTCTGAGAGATGTGGGGAACATTTGTATCTTTCTGGCTTAGGTACTGCTCCGTTTAATAATTCATAGATCTTTTATACAAATAACATCATATTAATTTCAAATAGTGCATATTTCAACAGTTTTAGTGCCAGCAGTGGTTATATTTGACAGAAAATGGGACGTAATTGTTGTACAATAAAAAATTGTGTGAGAACAATAAAAAAATGTGTTAAAGAAACCAATTTGACCTATTTATGATTTGCTAATTAAAGGTGTGTACATGTACACATTACGCATTTACACTTTAATTAAAATGTTATGCAATTAACACAAAATATGAGTTTTTAGTGGCAAACAACCGCACAAATGTGAGAAATCTACCTAATGCAAATAATATTGACCATCATTCATTTTAACATTTGTTCTTCCAAACTAATTATAAAATGTTTGAAAACAGGAAACAAATGATCATGTCCGGTTTAATGTGTTGAACGCATGAGCAGAATGCAACAAGGATCTCCAAAGGTAAAAGTAATACAACAGTTTATTTTAAATGAACAAACAAAATGCTGGTCGGGCAGCAAACTTATTTTTAAGGAGTAGATGAGACACAGAGGTAAACAGGACATGGAAGCCTTTACAGAGAATCTACAGACAACTGACGAGAAGCAAGAACGCAGAATATATAGAGACATTGATGAGGAAGAAAGACAAACAGCTTAATTAGGATTAAGGACAAGTGTGACAGGAGCAGAACACAAGGAAGAGAAAACACAGGAGTGTGCAGAAAAACTCAGAAACCCACACAAATAAACTTTTGTCCAGCTGAGAGAGTATTTTTAAAAGTTCCAAAAGTTTTTTTTAATTATTTTATTTTACTTATTTTATTTTACTCCATTATAAATAGATTTGTAGTACAACACCTGTGACCAGAAATGTTTTAACTGATGCAATTTCTTTGGCTGGTATATTTAACTCTGTATGATGTAGTGTTACACTTCGATGGTAAAAATTGAAAAACAATTACCGTAATTTCTGGACTATTGAGCACACCCGAATATAAGTCACGCACACTAAATGTATATATTTTTTAAATAAATTGTACATATATAGGCCGCAGTTGTATATAAGCCGCAAGTGTTCACATTGTCATATGAGATATTTACACAGAAAGTTTTTTTTAAAGCTTTTAATTAAATATTTACCATTAGTATCCACAAATGCATACTTTTTTTTCCTGAACAGTGCCAGTAACATGGCTGGTTAAAAAAAAAAAATTCTGTAGCCTAATAGGAAGTCAATGATCGCTATCTTCATTGATCGCTATCTTCATTGATCGCTATCTTCA